AAACTTTGTGTTAAGAGTTGAAAACCATTTTTATATAAAAATCTATGTTCTGTTGATATCATTAAAAAAATAGTTCCCATTGAAATTCTGGGGGGTTAAACATGGCAGATTTGAGCCTTAGACCACTATTCAATGATTAATAAATTCAAATTTATTTTCAATATCTAAATTTTGGTAGTATAATAGTCATTTGTATCTACTTTCAGAATATAATTGGCTTAATTACCTGAAACTGTTGTAATGGCTGTTACAGGGTGCCAAAATCCTAAAAAATCTCCTATTCTAAATTTTTTTTTTCTTATTTTAGGACCCCACTGGAAAATAATTGAAATATTTAGTCTTTCATTATTATTTATTTGTAATGTATTCCTGGAATAAGTTGCATTTACAATGTTTCAAAGGTTGATAATGCCTCAATCTCAAAATATTAAAGTTTGAATATGACTCCAAATTTAGAAAAATCCTCAAAATCGGCTCAATTCCCTACTTTGAATGCCTATAAAATTAGAACTATAGTTAGGAGCTGAAATTTTCAGGGTTAATTAAGTGCAGTGACTACATTCAGGCAATTTGAAAGACGCCACCTTTCAAGCTTGGTTCACTATTAGCTGGGATGCCTCACTGGCTCAAATTACATCCATATTCAATGCAAGATGTGTAAGATCCAGCAGCTCAGTTCAGCATTCTTTAGCTTCCATGGAATATGAAAGCAAAAGACCCACCAGGGTGCCTCCTGTTAATACTACAACACCGGACACAATACCTCACCTTGATTCATGACATCACTAACTGGATCTTGAAGGACTGGCAAAAATGTGTCTCAGTCTGAGTCATCACAGTTCAAGTTTCAGGGTGCTAGTAGGATTTGAGTGTAAATGAGACCATGAACTCCAGTTGTTACCATACAAAAAGGCACCATACAAGTTGGTGGCACTTCCATCATGGCATGTGAGGTGGTCACATAGCTGATAGGGTAACTTCCACTGGAGTTTCTGTAAGGCTCAGATCACTGTACTATCAAGCAGATAATGTCAGTCCAGAAAAAATGTTTAGCTCTATCACCCAAGACATGGCTATACATCACCAAAAGCTGGCTTTGTTTTCCTTAGTATTGACTATATAACATTTTAACTTAGATTAAGTTTCATTAGTTCTTCTACCTAAAAAAAAATTCTTTCAACCAGAATATCTTTGACCTTGTTTGACCGAATAAGTAAGCTTTGGCAAGTGAAATAATATTCCACCAGTATTTGTTTCATTTAAGACAAATGTAAAAGCCAACCAGTGATTGGAGACTCTGGTCGCTTTTTTTGTGAATGAGAGGAGTGGATTTAAGGTATCTAACAATTTAAACTTTGTACTTAAAAATAAGTATATATACAAGGTTGCCTTGCTAAAACATATTCTGATACTGTTAAAAGTTTAATTTTAATATGAAATTTTCATTATATAATCTTCAATCTATATAATTCAATTCACTACTGAATTAAGAACATTGCCAGAAAAAATATGTAAAATGAACAATTTTTTCATTAGGTTACAAATTTATTGGTCTATTTAAAGTTTCACTCATGAATAAGTACACTCCTACTAATTATTTACTAAAAGTTAACTTTCTTCTTAACAAAACATATTAACATTTTATTTCTCATTGAGCATTATACAGTATGTATTATTTATTACCAAATTTTATAGCAGTGAAACTCTGTAAATGAAAATATGAATGTTGCTGTTAAAAATAAGTTTCCCTCTTTTAGTGGTTATATATAGAAAGCAAGGAGTAGTGACACATGGTCTGAAGATTACTTGAGGCCTGAAACTGACAGTCACCATATAGTACTAGTTTCTATGTCCACACCTGTAGATAGATAAAAATGTAAAATTAAAGAAATATTTTGGACAGATTTTAAGAAGTGGATCATGTGAATATTTCAGCACCACTTCATATTTAAAAAACACTTGTATGAAAATTTGTAACTGTTTTCATACTTTATTTTAATCATCTTTGAATGATGGAAAAATGCATATCCAGTCATTTTTAGTTACATTTTTTTTGTATTATAAATCCTTGATTGGAGTCTTCCAAATTTCATCCATGACAGCCTCCACATAGAAACCAATCAACCTCCATTATACCTAAGGTTTGAAAGATTAGCCCTACAATACTCATTAAAACTTCAAAGTAATCCAAATAATTCAACACATAAATGAACTTTCAAATTATAATATACACACGTTTACATTGGCAAACTAATAAACATCGCCTTCTTTTGACACTAAATCATAGAAACAATCACATAAATAAACAAATTTACCTACATCATAACTCCTCTTAACATTATCAAGTCACCTCCATGGATACTTAAATGTAATATAGATCTAATAGTAATTCAACATAGCAAAAAACCACAAATAACATTATAAATAGAAGCCAATTTGCCAAACTAAAATGCAAATATCAAACCATATATACTATATGGCTTGATGGCTCTAAAATCTCAAATAAAATGGAGCTAACCACTATATTTTATTTTAATTATCTTCATGTATAATCTATGTTGCAAAATTTTGATTTGCAAGTGGAATGAGCAAGCTGAGTTTAAATTCTCTTTTAACCTGTTGCATCCACTCTCGCACTAATGCTCTTGGAAAAGGCACAAATTTCCCATGAAATACCATGGTGTATTTCTTATAGCCATATCCTCAATGCATGTTTGTTAATACTGAGCACAATGGTGTCTTTATAGCTATACTTTCTTGTCTATACAGTATCTAAGAGGTTTGTCCAAAAAATATTACTATTTCAATTGGTAGGATGCTAGTGCATTCTACAAGTGTTTGATCAGATTCCAATTTTTCTCAAACCATTGACATGACCTCATCCATAGGAACTGGGAACAGACTATTATGTATATTGAATGAGAGTATGTTTAATCATTTCTAAAAAGTAGGCTGCATTTTTTACATAGCAGTACCTGTTTTATTCTACGATTAAATCATCTCCCTTTAGTAATCTTCATGTAGGTAAAGATTACTAAAGGGAGATGAATATATCATTTACTATATTCTAGCAGGATTTTAATGGATCTACAAGAATGCATTAACATGGATTCGTAAACAAGTGTCTCTTCTTCTTATCATTTAATTACAAAGTCATAAATAAATAAAATACCAAAACAAGATGTCTTTAGATTAATGAATTTTGCATGTATCTACATCACATGGATTGAGTACCACTGTGTCTGACTAACAGGTAATTCATTGCTTCAATGCTTATCACCACTTTCATGACAGATTTTTCAAGAAAATGATCACTGAAAGAAAAACAATTATTTCATGCTCAAGTTTTATGTTTCAATTTCAAACATATATTTGTGATTTTGGTTCTGAAAGTGACTTTAAGAATTTTGAGGTTTCGGTTGGTGAAGCATGTTACTACTAGTTAATATAGGAACAAATTTTAGAAAAGTATCCAAGTGTCTTTTATCTCTAAAATAAAAATTGTTTTGACCTTGTAGAATCTGTCAATTGATGCTTTTATTAGATAATCTATGCCATCCAGTCATTTTTTATGATTTTTTATAGAAATAATATTCATATTGATTGATTTTGTAAAGTACTATATAACTCTTGCACTTTATAGGAAAGTCTTGTTCACTTTTTTTTATCTATGTGGGTGGGATGAAAAGTTAATAAATTATGAAGGAGTGATGCTAGAACTGTGAAATCTTGCATGCATTACTTTCAATTGTTCTTATTAATAACTAATCTGTTTCTCTCCAGGTAAACTGTTATCTGACTTTTCAAAGACTTTTCATCCTGTTGGTCAAAAAAGTCAACAACAGCAGATATGACGTTATCATCACTCTGATACTGGTTCTGAGCCAAGTGCTTTTTCAAGTAGGGGAACAGATGGTTATTAAATCAGGAGAATAGGCAGAGTGATCAACCAGTTCAAAGCCACAGTCACACATAGCAGCTTGTGTGCTAGAGCATTGTGCTGATGAAATAAAATCCCTTTTGTCAGTTTTCATGGGCATTTGGTCTTGATGACCTTTCGTAACTGCCTCAGCAAGTTAGCATAGTACTCTCCATAGATGGTGTGGCACTTTTGAAGATAGTCAATAAACACAATGACTTTTACATTCCAAAAAATTAGGCTATCATTTTCCCTACAGATGAAACAACCATGGCCTTCTTTGGAGTAGGTGAGGAGGGGGTGTTTCCCCTGTGTGGATAGTCTCTGACTTAAAGTGATGAACCCAATACTCATCCTTGGTTAGGAAATGTTCAAAGAAACCAGCTGAATCTGCTTCAAACAATATCAGATTTTCCCATGATGCAATCAGTCTGGTGTGCTTTTGATCAGGTGTCCAGAAACCTTTTGTCATGTCAAATTCATTGTGCAGAATATTCTCAACTTTTTCACAGAATATGCTAATAGCATTGTCTATTTTACCAATTTGCTATGTGGTGAACATGGGTCATCTTCAAGATATCCCCACTGCTAAATTCCACTGCCTACTTTTGCACTGGTTATAAAGCATCACCCCCTAATGTATCAACCTTGTCAAATTTTGTTCATTTTCAAGATAAGTTACTACTAGTTACTTTTCAAGTATTCTTTGAACAGTCAGATGTAAAAACACCTGGAAAGAAACAATGCAGTTATTAATAAGAATAGTTGAAATTAATGCATGCAAGATTTCACAAGTCTAGCATTACTCCTTCATAGTCAGCCTATGATTCTTTTCAGCCTGCCCTCAAAAACCCACACATGTAGTTAGAATGTAAAAAATGTAAATTGTTTTATAAAAATTTATCTCACTTACTAGATTATGACATTACTCCATTGAATTTTTACAAGGCTTGCCTTAAATTTTATCCTTTTTTTTTCAGATTAAACCATTAGTCTGTTCAACTCTGAATTCTATTGCTTCTTGAAGAAAATATATTACTGATAAAACATGAGTGATTCCCAAAGAAATTCTATTGGTTCTATGGACACACATACTCAGTCCACCATAGGTGATAATTACAGTGACAATTTTGAATCAGAACCAGATCCTGAGCAAAATCTTGAAATCAAACAAACACCCTACAGAAAAGGTAAGAAACTGAACACTATGTAATCTAGATCCGGCTGCATGTTAATTTCTGATTAATTCTTAAGCTTAGATTTCTAGCTTTAAAAGTTTGTTGATAATTCTAGCATCAAAATTTATTCAAGTTAACAACAAAATTCCTCATTCAGCTACATTATATTATTTTGTTCATTAAGTCACTAGATTCCATGAATTAAGTCATATTTTTAAAAGTATCTTAAATCTGCCCACATAATTTAAAGACAATTTGATGTACATAGGTCCATACTTTCCATACAAACAATTATGTTTATTTCGTGGGTGACTTTCACTGGATTTCGCAATTAATTTTGATTATTACAAAATTTATTTCCAAGTTATAAAAATTGTTATTGTACCAAAAAAATTCATCACAAAAAAATTGTAAAAAACAATCACTGTAATGAAAACTTGGGAATCCAAAATTTCAGGATTGCGGGTCCATATCCAGCCAAGAATGTTCTTAATTTGCTCATGGAGTTGGCCTGATTCCAAAATGGTGTATGTAGAGTAAGAGTAAAGTTGAAAAAGTGTGACACAGTGACACACTGGCATTCGCATTTATTATATAGATTATTGTTTGTCCCACATTAAGAACAGTATACTAGAAAAAGTAATGAAAACAATCTTTGCTGTAAGATGCCTGGAAGGGAAAAAGTTCTCTTTTGCTAAATCCCCAACAAATTGTAATCAAATCTTAATATTAAACTTAAGTTAGGTCATGTTTGCTATTAATAATTCTGAAAAATATAACATTTTTTTATCATTGAAATAATTATATGAGATAAAATAAAAATTCTTTTAGTGTTCCATCAAAATTTATTCAAGTTAACAACAAAATTTCTCATTCAGCTATATTACATTATTTTGTTCAATAAGTCACTAGTTAAGTTGTAGAATCTGTACACAAGTCCTATGACTTTTTATTTCTTGCTTGCATCTCCAAAGCTGTTAAGCCTTAAATATTCAGAAAGTTTCAAAGACTTATTGCTGTCATTTTTTTTTTTAAATAAACATTACTGTTACTTCATATTTTACCTTGATTTTGTATATTTGAAGGGTTAAACAGAGTTTGTTGTGTAATGGCAGTATTAACTTTTCTGAAGACCAAATTTAATGCAGCAATAATAAAATACTCTTAGAAATGTAAAATATAAAAATGCTATTGGGATAAAGTAGTGATTCTCAAATGGTGCTGCTCACCTCATAGGTTCAGCAGAAGAGGATAGTAAGTGAGATGAAATGATTGAAAAATAGATTTAGAAATAGTTTAAAAAATTCATATGCCAAAAAATAGATATGTTTTTTAAAATTTTAAATATTATTATAGATTACTTGTAATTGCATGCATGAGTCCAAATATAAATGATTATTGACTGATTTTATCATTTTTATACTTTTGCATTATACCAAGAATTAAGAATATAGTAACTAGGGTCTGCAAATTGGAGGAAGGAGTTATCAATGATAATGTTCCGACTTCTAATCCTCTGTTATCTTCCTTTAACCCTGTCTCTGTTTTTATTTTTAAATGTACTTTTTATCACATAAAATTTGGTGAGGTGCAAGTAAATTTTCATTCTGAAAATGCGGCCCAGAGGGAAAAATGTTCAGGAACCACTGGGATAAAGTAATAACCATTTTAGTACTATTATCAACAAAATGATTCAATCAACTATAATCAAGTAAAAATATTCTCACTAATTTTTAAAGTGAGCACTTAGAAAAGCCAAATTTCAAAAATACATTTTCTATTATTATCCATTAAATTTTGGGCTTTACTGCTTTTTACAGGCTGAAACTTAAACATTAACCAAAAGATTTTTATCACTTCTCCAGACAACTGGCATAAAGGCTTATGGTAATAGAGCTGAACAAATTTATTAACATTTTTTTTTAAAACTTTATAAATTTATGTGTTCTTTCTCTTTATGTATATATTTTCATCTTTTTTATACATAATACCAACATTTGTTTCTCAGAAAATGGAACTGTTTGGTGAGTATGAGTGGAGATATTGTGAAAATTTAACATGGTACTAACTAAATTTTCACTGTGTATTCCAAACACCAAGTACAAATAACGCCATTTTTATATTATTATATTTTCCCTAAGTGATTCAGTGATATCACTCTTTTTTAACATTAAGTTTTCATAGATTTGTGGCTTAAATGTTGCTGCTCACAATTAATTTTCTATAAGTAACCTAAATTTTTCTCAAGTCTTCAGCAGGGTATAGATGATAAATTTATATGAAATCAATCTTGATAAATCAGACAGTAAAATGATATACACGTATAATTTTATCCAGAAGATATAATATTAGCAGTTGAACCATTTTTGACATAAAGCTACATTCATAAAGTTAGCCATGTTAGATTTTATTAATGAATAGACACTGCAATACTGGGTTTTGAACTGTAGAAATGTGTTATATCCCTTAGACACACAACTTTGTTTTGTTAAATCAAAGTGAAATTAATTGGAGATATTTATAAAATTTTCAGTACTATTTTATTAGTTTTCACTTTAAAAGGCGCATTCATTATTCTGAGAAGCATGACAATGCAAGAATCATCAGTTTTTGCACCAAACATAGATACATGTATATTTGCTCCATCTTGTCCTGTTTTGATTGATCATCTTTCATTTTTAGCCATCTCTCAGCACAATATAATTCTCTTTATTAAAACATCTTTCAAAAATAAAATATACTTTTCTGAAGCTTTATTTGATAAATATTAGCTGTCTGAAAGTTTAATTAATCTGATTTGAAACAAATATTAGTTACTTTTAGTTTAAAATATTGCAGAAATGCATTTTTACTTGGATGTAGGTGTTTATTTAAGGTGCTGAAAGTGTTATTGACAGCCTGACAGCTTTCTTAACAACCAGAAATTTAACTAATTTTTCCTATCTTAGATATATCTGTAAAAATTACTTGATGAATATAATATGAATGCCTTTTTTATACAATGTTTATGTAAGCGATCTGGGATTGCAAAGGAAATGTTTGTCGCAGATTATTTCCCCGTCACCGAGAATAAATCACTAAGTTCAGACTCGAACATCGGGAACAGAAAGAAAATGACGAAAACTCGATTTGCAAGTACTATTTCACAAATCACAATGCACGCAACCAGTCAGAAAAATAACTCCCTTGCCAACTAATGTGGCAGCCAAAATCACCAACTTTTTTTTTTCCCCTGATTCAAAAACACCAACTGCTTTTATCGGCCAAACATTTTTTTTCTATTCATCGACAGCTGGGAGAGGATGTTCAGTAATTTGCATATCAACATACTTTTATAGCGACTCCTGTGATGGACTTGTTTTTTAATTCAAATATTCCATTTTCAGCATGTCATGCGGAATACATGCCCTTTTGTTTGGTAAGTAATTTTCTTTTTCACCACAGTTTCTGTCGTAGAATACACGCGACGCGTTGTCACATGGTTTGACAAGGTAAGTCGCCGTTTTCTTTGCTATACTCCCCCCTCCTCAATCTCACTATCACAAATCGAACAGCCTGGAGCAGCTCTCTTTATCCTAGTGCTTCGTCATAATGGCACTATTTCCCTTACGCATGTCAGAGAGTCGTCTCCGGAGGAGTCATCAGACGTATCTCAAGTTTCCAGAAGTTCTGTGTCTGTGGAAGCATTGGATTCGCAGATCTCAATTATCTGCTCACTGTCAGATGATGAATCATCATCGGGTTTGCTCAGTGATGTATTAGAATCAACGAAAAGGTGAAGATCTTTTACATGCCGTGGCATCCCATCAACTAGTATTGTTTGTGGACTTACAATGTCCGTCACGCGACCCACTTGATACCAACATGGCAGCCAAAATTGCCGACTTTTTTTTTCCCCCCGATTCAAGACCACCAACTGCTTTTATCAGCCAAACATTTTTTTTCCATTTGTCGACAGCTGGGAGTGGATGTTCATTAATTTGCATATCAACATACTTTTATAGCGACTCCTGCGACAGACTTGTTTTTTAATTCAAGTATTCCATTTTCAGCATGTCATGCGGAATACGTGCCCCTTTGTTTGGTAAGTAATTTTCTTTTTCGCCACATTTTTCATTGTAGAATACACATGACGCGCTGTCGCTTGGTTTGACGAGGTAAGTCACTGTTTTCTTCGCTATAGTTTAACTACCCAGTAATCTTAAAAATTTAGAAAAATATTCTGTACTGTTTTATTGAATTTTAATTTTGGCTTTAAATTTACTCTTATTTTTTTGGTAATATTGTGTATGGATGTCTGTATTTACAAAAACCAGCATGTTTGTCAAAAAATTCAAAATTCTTTTTAAAATACTGGGAAATCACTGAATTGTAAAAATTCATTCATCAAAATTTTTTTTTTTTTAAGACAATAGTATATATAATTTTGATAACTGGGGGTCTTGTTTTACAAAAAATAATTGATCTAAATTCTTCAAGGAGGATGATCATGACCAGAGGTGTTTGCTTCAAATTGTCTGTGGTAACAAATGATACGGTTTTTAATCCTATCCACATTTATTACAAGAGGTACAAGAGTTTGATAGTCTTTAGTTTTCATGGGATATAAGATCAGAGACCCACCAATGTGTCAATAGGGTATTGTGATGACTGGTGGCGGTTCCATAATGGTGTGTAATGTATTCATGTGGCATGGATTGGCTCTGCTGGTCTACCTATGTTGCACTGATTCATGATCCTTTAACCCATTCATGAACTCTATACATTCTATCAACAATTCAGTGGGAATAATGCATTGGATCATTGAGCCCAAGTTGTCTAGTTTGAGAAGATCTGGGAGAATTCCGATAAATGGTATGGCCACTACATTTCACCTGACATGAGACCATGAACATTTATGGGATGTAATAGAGAGGTCTATTCACATGCAATATTCTGTGCCATCAATTGTCAGGGATATGTGGGCAGCTATTGAGGCAGTGTGGCTCCACGTCTCTCTAGAGATCTTACAA